CCCCTGTGTATAAGTTGTACTTTATCAGTGTTTGGCCACTAGACTTTAGGAGTTTGTAGCTTTCCAAGGATAGTCTCCCAAAATAAAGTATATGTAAATTTTGCAGACTTTAAAATGCACATATTAGTATGCGAATATCATTTTCTCATGGTGCTCACAGTAGTCAATGAGAGGTATTTTGCATATTCTTCAATTTTAAAGGTCTGGAGAGAACGTGACTGATTGTAAATTTTTATTGCTTGATTTAAAATACCACTATTGGAGCAGTTATAAATCTTCTGAAAACCTAGTGTTCCCAACATGCAGCATTTAAACTTGCAAATTAACAGGGATTATAATTTATTCATTTTTTTGCTGCAGTAAAGCCAGCTCATAGTACATAAAATTTAAATACATTTGCATGGATAATAAGATAAACTGAGCATCGTTCCTCGGCATTAATTCCTAGACGTTTTTGTATGATATACAAAATGTACATCATGTACATTAGCTATTCTATTTGCCAGGTAGCTTTCAAACTATTGCAAATAGAACTAACATAGTATGCGGTACAGCGCGTGAAAGAGATCAAACAAGGACAACATGTGCAGATAATAACAACATTATCAACTACAACTATGTTTATTTGCTGCGATTTTTGATGATTTGTTGTAAATTACAGAGAAGTTTATTGCCTGGACAAAGTCTGTGAAAAAAATGATTTCAATGCCACAGATTATAAAAATGACTGTTTTATTTTTTTCTTTACTTGTTTGTTTGTCCAATTTGTCATCTTCATGAATAAAACATGTTCTTCAGTGACGTCATGCGAAACAAATGCTATTCAAGAAATTATTTAGCTGGTAATTTTTTTTTAAACATTATTTTTATCTCAAATTGACATTTTTACTGTACATTAATTATATGCTAATATTCAATTATGAATATCAAATTATACTTGATAAAAATGTATATTATTGAGGTCAAAGGTAAAATACCAAATTGCATTTTATGTTTGAGTGTACTTTGGCACTGTTCGTCTTATCATTAACTTATTATGATTACACAGTAAGTCTATACTCCATTACAACAAACATGAATCAGTCTGTTGAAATAACTAATTAAATATTCTACTTTTTTAACATAAAAGTTAACTTTTGTCATCTTTCACCAAAATAAATTAGTATCATATTTTTTTTAATCATTCTGGTCAACCCCTATAGGTAATAGAGAAATACATCCATTTTGTTCAAAATTACCAAAGAAATTATAAATTCAATTGCAAGCAAAATGTTTGACTGACAATTATTTTATTCAAAACAGTATATTTATCTTCATTGTGGCTACTACCTACATGGATATTGCCTGTTCCCTTCCTCTCATATATTTACCATATGTTTAATCATTTTACTTAGTCCGAGTATGACCTTACAATACTTTTATAGAAACTTTCACTTACTATAAATCAGACACTCACCATTGATGTCATAAAACTCCATTGTACTAGTGTTTTTATTGACACGTCAAGTACCTGTATGTGTAAATAATCTTGTTACCTGTTTACCATCAATTGGTTTTATCTACCAGGGATACAATTGGGTGCTACACCAGGGTGTGAAAACACTGTCTAGAATTATAATATCCACTCTAAAATAAATTTAGTTGTTCTGGAGCAATGTAGTTTTACTTTGTATATTCTGAGTTAACATGTTACCAATGTACATAGATCTTCATCTTAACCAAATTATATATTTTGGTGAAACACAATAGTAGGTGCAGTTTAAAATTGCTGTATTAGAAGCTCTTACATCAATGCCTCAGGGTAGAATTGGGTAGGGTAAGTTTCTAAGCAATCGTCGCAATGGACTTCTCGAAGTCCTGGATTAGGTTTAATGGCATTAATATAATAATCTTCAAATTCTTTTGATGTGGAATCCTATTTGTTCATTATTCTTCTTCTTTGGTTTAGCCATGGAGGTAATTAGTACCTCCATGGTTTAGCCAACATAGGAATTACAGTAACATGTCACCGTACAACTTTGGTCTTCTAAACTCTCTGTGAAGTGTGATGTAACTTTGCATCTCTCCTGAGCACAGCAACGTTAGTGTCTGCCATTTGTGTGAATTGACAAAGTGGTAAATGATGTCTATGAGTTGTAGTAGGAATAGAAGTGGTCAATTCACCAACTCAAACATATTGCTAATTGTTCACACCTGATTATCAGAACCAGTATAACTGTCTATAATGTTGTATAAGTGCAATAAAGGAGTTCAGTTCTGCCTTGACACATATACTGGACAATAGAAAGTCGGCTTCACACTGCATATAGAATATCAACAGTATTGATGAACATTACATATTTATTCAGTCAGAGTCTATAATAACACTTAATGTTTTTTAATGTATTTAAGACTAGTACTCAAGTTTACCCAGTGCTGCATACAAATCTATTTTTACATCGTTGCTAAGGTGTATTTTTTCAATCACAAGATGCAAAAGGGGTCAACTGTATTCCGCCTTAAACTAAAGATTTCTCCTTGTACTGTAGTTTTAAATTTTGAAAACGTATAACTGTTATATGGTGATGATATAGCATGTTGAGATCTGTTGGTTTCAACCCTGCTGGTTATTTATATGTAAATTATCCATTCAGCCTGGTTGCCATAGAATATAATTTCTGTTTCTAGGCAACAAAGGATAGGAATCTTGTGAATGTTTAAGTATAAGGGCCTTTTGGTTTTCTTTTTATGTCTACTTTGACCAGGTTGCTAGGACTATAGAGTATGTAACATCCCTTTACTCTATGACAAGGATTTATGAAGCTGTTTTTAGTTTACAATCGAAAACATGTTACTTCTTGTAACATCAAATGTGATTTTTAAATCAGATATCTGTAGCGGAAATGTCTATGTTGTCTGGAATAACAGCCCATGTTTTTTTTTCTTCTGGTTTCCTTTTTCATAGATTGCCAGTTGTCTTTAAAAAGCATCATGGAAAATTTATTTGACATTCTTTTTTTTTTCTGTCAAACATCTGTGTCACATTTTTAGGTGAAAAAAATCAATGTTTGCCTCACATGAAATTCTGTAAGCAATCAGGCAAACCGGGTTACCCGCTTGCAGGGTACCCTGGGCATGAAATTAAATATTATTAAAAATATTACAAATTGGGTAGTGCTGGGCAGAATTTCCTCAATGGTAGCTGCTAAGTGCTATAACATAATACCGCATTTGTTCTATCAGAAATACATCTGTAATAGAAGCACTTATAGACCAAAAATTGCAATGTATTATATATGTACTGAATTATTCAAATTTGACTTTTTCCACAAACCTGTAATGTACGTGTAACTAGCCCTTCATCGGTCACCAATGGTGAATCTCATTTAGATTGTGTCACTTTCACCACCAATGATATAGCGTAATTTCAAACCATGAGTTATTCTACGAAAATAGTAATAATTTAAAAGCAGGTTGTCATATATATTATAATGAAATGGAAAACAGGAAAAAAACCTATTTTAAATTTCTTTCACAAATCTGACACATTTTGTGATTTTCATTTCTTCCCATTTACAAAGTGGTTTAGAACATGTTTTTGAAATAAATTGGCTATGCAGTATCAGTCAATGTGGCTAAATTTTATTTATTCTAAGTGGAAACCCGTAGAGGTATAGAAAGCTGTTCTTTTACATGTATTAAAGGTATGCCACTTAATGTGTTAATGCACATTAACTCTCCTTAGTGAAACCAATGTGGTGTGATTAAATATAAACACTTTCCCTGTCTATCTACTATTGTTAACATTGTAGTTTTACTACCTTGATGAAATCTAATTTTGTTACACACCATCAGCAATTCACCATTGAGTTGATGTCAATTCTCATTAACTGATAATAGTTTTATGGCTGGGTCACACTTCTACTGATTTTCTATGGCTATACTGGAAAGTGTTCCCATCATCCCCTTCCTCCACCAAATGTCTCAATGTCTTCGGAAAAGCAACAGGTGTCAACAAAATATTCAGAGTGTTTCTAATTTTCAAGTGACAACAGGAAGTACATGAGAAAAAGATATTTCATGATTAAAAAAACTACAATTACAGTTGTGTACCCTGATTGAATATTGTTGTAACTTTTGTGCAATGTGTCTTGTATTTAGGTATGGTTATGCCAATTAAAAAAAATATGTGTGGTTCCAATGATCCTACCCAAACTAAATTTGATTGCCTACCTTAACTTATTTTTGGCCATTGAACATGAAAATATAGTGCAAATTCACACAAGAGTTTTTAAAAGGGGTAAATAAAACTGAATTTATTATTCAAAGTTTTGGTCAAATTAGGTAGACTGTCACTGAAAATGTGAACACAGGTTTTGTCATAGGTCATCAGCAAGATTTTAGAAACAAAAATAATGTCTGATGAAGAAAAAATAAAAAAGTCTGATCTATAGTCAGATTGAAGTGCATGTTATTGTAACAACTCAATTTATTTGTTGAGCCTAACTGTTGTTGATGATGATGAAAACAACACTTTTCATTGATGTGTTCCAGAATTTTAGATAACATGCATTTGATTCATAGTAAACGGAGTTAATTAGTAAGAGGAAGCTGCAGATTAAATCAATGTGAACTGGGGTGAAATTGCATCAGAAATTTAAAAGTCAGTGAATAAGTTCAAAATATGGAAATTATATAACAGTGAAAAATACTGATAATGCTTCTAGTATGTTTGAGGTGAACTAACAATGCAGAAACAAAAAACTACACAAAATATTAAGCATTGCACATTACTACGAATAGTGCTTGTACAGATCAACACTTCATTTAGTTGCCAGCAAGGAAGCCATTACAAAACCACAGTACATAGATTAAACTGATTGAGAGAATCAACTGATTTAAAAGGCATTCAATTTTATCACTGTCTGTGCATGCCTGTAATGCATGACAAAGAAACCCACTAACACTCCCTCTCAGACATGTTTATCTAATGTTAATTACCCCATTGTTTCTATTGAAACTCCTTCACCAGTGTAGGTCTCTCACTTTGTGACTTGCAAATGAGTTGATTGTTTTCATAACTGCTATAATAGTTGAGGCAGTAATGTGTATGTACTTGTTTGCCTGTAGACCTTACAATGTTCTCTAGGCTGCCAGTCACACACAACTAGTGCACGATGATGAACCCAGGAACTAGTATTAACTTTGATGGGCAGGCTTTGGAAGAGCAACAGGAAGCAGAGTTTGAAAGAGAAGACAGAGAAAGGGAGAAAGAGGTAAGAGCTGTGGGGAATATTTGTGTCTTGTTGTTGTCTGTGGATATTTCTTTGGGCATGTTACTGATGAAGTGTGGCTTGTGTGTTAGTCTTGTGTACATGTATGAGTTGTAATGCATGGTAGGGTATTTGCACCTTGAGCAGTTAAATAATAATCTACGTCAGTATATGCAAAGGTAAGTAATGTCTCGTACATAGCCCTGCAGTTAAACTGTCCAATTTCCTCCAGAAGCCAACAACATGTATCTGTCTGTTGTGTTACCATATTCGTATATCCAAGCTTAGCTTATTGTAGGGATAAGCATGTGAGTAGAAGATTTCCAGTGTGCACATTACCAGATTGTCATGGAAGTCTCCTGAAAATTAAATCTTGTACTCTTTACTCACAAGGTTTGTGAAGGTACAGCTATTTTTTGAAAGGAAGGATGTGCAGTTACCTAAATGCTGTTAGTTTGTCAGGAAGGACATTTACAGTTATTTTGACATGTGATGGTTTATATTTGAATCGTCACATGGTCTGTGTCAAGAGGGGTCACTGCTTATCTTTTGAGCCTTAGGTCATGCTTGGACATGCAAAGTCAGCCATGCTTGAAGTCATGTACGCATGGTGTTGGTATCGTGTTCTATTTACTTACTGCATGTACATGCACATGCTTGTCTTGGCTTAACAGTTGTGTCCTCAAGGCCTGACTGACCTTCAATATTTTTTATTTAATATCCGCCAATACGTTCAGGTTGATAATTAAATATTTCATTCATTTCTTGATAGTTTTAGTTTTATTTTCAAATTCTGTTGGCATCCGTCATACTTGTAGCAGAGAACTCCATGTGTTCAATGCATTACCCATGTGTTTTTGGCACAAAATCAATATAAATGTTTGGGTTACTGGCAGTGATTTATTTTCATGCTGACAGTCAGTACTACAGTACTACTGCCTTAGGTACTACCGTAATATTTTTTTTGTTATAGCCCCCTCTGTAGACCAAATTAAAAAAAATGAACACTACATTTTGTTCGCAAATCTAAATGTAACAATAATGGAGATGGCTGTCAGAAAACAATAAAATTATTATCCTCTCTGAAAAGACATCGAATTTAAGAATATATGACCTATATTTAAACTAAAATATTTGAAAACAAAATAATATTCGAATGAATTATTACCCCCTCTATTGCTCAATTCAGAGCTTAATTTGCATTTCCAGTCATGAAAATTTAGAAGATTAATTAACTCTAATTATCAATGACAAAAACTGGATAAAATGTGCCTGAAAATATGAATCAAATAAAGTTCAGTATAAAGTTTGTTCCATCTTGTTAAACACAGCTTTATACGACTGTGACATCAATGCTTTGTTCTCAACTATGGAAATCTTGAGCTGTTGGACATGTGCTCTCAGATCTAAACCCAAATGTTGTATGACAACAATAACATTGGTATATCAAGGTTGTTTCCACATTTTGCAAGATTTTCTATTCTAATTCAAACAATTGTACCGGATCACAATGCCTGATTGACACTCTCATGTATGGTTGGAACCTGCAGCTATGAAAGCTTGGTTCCCTGCCGTGTGTCTGAATTAATGACAAAGACAACATTCTGAGATGGAATGTTGGAATCGTTACAATTGGTCTTCAAATGATGAGTTTGCCACTTGCTTCACTTGATCTTCTGTCCTTTTCCTTGGGGTACTGTAAAACATTTTTACGATTATAAATTTTTGATATTTGATGGTTTGAAGGCAGTATTCTGTGGATATAATTTTGCAAAAAAATCTCTATGCCTGTCTAACCAATGAAATGTTAACTGCTGTAAAATTCAATTGTTTTTTCCCTGATTTGTGCGATTCATGAAAATTTGTCTTGCAAATTCAAAGCCTTTTGCTGTTATACATGTATCCAATTTTCTCCAATAATTATTAGATTAGCAAAAATAAATCCCTTGTCCATTCATTGGTTATATAAAATATTCACAAGATGATTATAAATGTATATTATAATTATTGTATTTCATCTCATATTTCTCATATACTGTAAAATACATTATTTCAGCTGGAATTAATTTTCGCTGAAAAGACTTTTTGGGTGTTATGTATGAATTTTAAGTTGAATGTCAAATATAGGAAAATAGATATA